GAAGGGTGTGCTGTCTGCCGGGTGCGAAGATACGGGATGTGGACCTGAGGCTGAAGAGGATCCTAATGGGAGCGGGAAAGAATCCACTGATTGTCCTTCATGTGGGAACAAATGATACGGCTACATTCTTATTGGAATGAATCAAGGGAGACTATGCAAGGCTGGGGAAGACGCTTAAGGAATTTGAGGCTCAGGTGATCTTCAGTGGGATTCTGCCTGTTCCTAGAGAAGGGCAACAAGGTGTGACAAGATTATGATGCTCAACAGATGGCTCAGGCAGTGGTGCCATAAGGAGGGCTTTGGGATGTATGGCCAGGGCTGGCTGCAGGCACCAGCCCACCAAGCATGTGCTTGGGGCGGCGCCTGGAGGGGGTCGGCGCGGCGGAGCCCCGGCCGGACACGCCGCCCTCCCCCCGGCGCTCCGGCCAGTCGGGGAGAGCGGGGCCCCAGCCGGGCTCGCCGCCCTCCCCCCGGCGCTCCGGCCGGTTGGGGAGAGCGGAGAGATGCGGCGAGCTCACCGCCCTCCTCCCGGCGCTCTGGCCACCGGGGAGAGCGGAGAGCCCCGGCCGGGCTCGCCGCCCTCCTCCCGGCGCTCTGGCCGCCGGGGAGAGCGGAGAGCCCCGGCGCTCCGGCTGGTCAGGGATTGCGGGCACGCGGCCGAGCTCGGCGCCCTCCCCTGCCCTAGGGCGGCAAAAAAGCCAGAACCGGCCCTGTGTATGGCCACTGGGAGGCATTCATGGACAGAGGACTGTTCTCTCTGGATGGACTTCACCTGAGTAGGGAGGGAAATAGACTTCTAGGATGGAGGCTGGCATAACTAATTAAGAGAGCTTTAAACTAGGAATTTGGGGGAGATGTACAGGTAATTTCCACACCGGATTTTAACATTGAGAGGGAAGAAAACAAAGTAAGAAAGGATACAGCCGTGGGTAGGAGAACGGACATAAGGAGGAAGGGTAGTGTAGATCCCAGTCTAATAGGTGATACTGGCAGTAGAATATCAATGCCTAATCAGGTAAAGAATGTGAGTGACGCCAAACAGCAAAAATTAAGATGCTTGTACACTAATGCTTGAAGACTAGGTAACAAAATGGAGAAACTAGCACTACTGGTGCAGGAAGTGAAACCAGCTATTATAGGGATAACAGAAACATGGTGGAATAGTAGTCATGACTGGAGTACAGATATCGAAGGGTATGTGCTGTTTAGGAAAGACCGAAATAAAGGCAAAAGTGGTGGAGTAGCATTGTATATCAATGATGAGGTAGACTGTAAAGAAATAAGTGATGGAATGGATAAGACAGAGTCTGTCTGGGCAAAAATCACATTGGGGAAGAAAGCTACTAGAGCCTCCCCTGGGATAGTGCTTGGGGTGTGCTATAGACCACCGGGATCTGATTTGGATATGGATAGAGACCTCTTTAATGTTTTTAATTAAGTTAATACTAATTGGAATTGTGTGATCATGGGAGACTTTAACTTCCCAGATATAGACTGGAGGAAAAGTGCTAGTATTAATAATAGGGCTCACTTTTTTCTGGATGCAATAGCTGATGGATTCCTTCACCAAATAGTTGCTGAACCAATAAGAGGGGATGCCATTTTAGATTTGGTTTTGGTGAGTAGTGAGGACCTCATAGAAGAAATGATTGTAGGGGACAACCTTGGTTCTAGCGATCATGAGCTAATTCAGTTCAAACTAAATGGAAGGATAAACAAAAATAGATCTGTGAGTAGGGTTTTTGATTTCAAAAGGGCCAACTTAAAAAAATTAAGGAAATGAGTTAGGGAAGTAAATTGGACTGAAGAACTTGTGGATCTAAAGGCGGAAGAGGCCTGGAATTACTTCAAGTCAAAGTTGCAGAAACTATCAGAAGTCTGCATCCCAAGAAAGGGGGAAAAAATCATAGGCAGGTGTTGTAGACCAAGCTGGATGAGCAAGCATCTCAGAGAGGTGATTAAGAAAAAGCAGAAAGCCTACAAGGAATGGAAGATGGGAGGGATCAGCAAGGAAAGCTACCTTATATGAGGTCAGAACATGTAGAGATAAAGTGAGAAAGGTCCAACTCTACATGGCTTTTGGCCTTGCAAAGGGAATTAAAACCAATAGGAAAAGGTTCTATAGCCATATAAATAAGAAGAAAACAAAGAAGGAAGAAGTGGGACCGCTAAACACTGAGGATGGAATGGAGGTTAAGGATAATCTACACATGGCCCAATATCTAAACAAATACTTTGCCTCAGTCTTTAATGAGGCTAATGAGGAGCTTAGGGATAATGGTAGGGTGACAAATGGGAATGAGGATATGGAGGTAGATATTACCACATCCGAGGTAGAAGCCAAACTCAAACAGCTTAATGGGACTAAACCGGGGGGACCAGCTAATCTTCATCCAAGAATATTAAAGGAACTGGCACATGAAATTGCAAGCCCATTAGCAAGATGTTTTAATGAATCTGTAAACTCAGGGGTTGTACCGTATGACTGGAGAATTGCTAACATAGTTCCTATTTTTAAGAAAGGGGAAAAAAGTCATCCGGGTAACTACAGGCCTGTTAGTTTGGCATCTGTAGTATGCAAGGCCTTGGAAAAAATTTTGAAGGAGAAAGTAGTTAAGGACATTGAGATCAATGGTAATTGGGACAAAATACAACATGGTTTTACAAAAGGTAGATCGTGCCAAACCAACCTGATCTCCTTCTTTGAGAAGGTAACAGATTTTTTAGACAAAGGAAACGCAGTGGATCTAATTTACCTCGATTTCAGTAAGGCATTTGATATGGTTCCACCTGGGGAATTATTAGCTAAATTGGAAAAGTTGGGGATCAATATGAAAATTGAAAGGTGGCTAAGGAATTGGTTAAAGGGGAGACTACAACGGGTCATACTGAAAGGTGAACTGTCAGGCTGGAAGAAGGTTACTAGTGGAGTTCCTCAGGGATCAGTTTGGGGACCAATCTTATTTAATCTTTTTATTTCTGACATTGACACAAAAAGTGGGAATGTGCTAATAAAGCTTGCGGATGACACAAAGCTGGGAGGTATTGCCAATACAAAGAAGGACCGGGATATCATACAGGAAGATCTGGATGACCTTGTAAACTGGAGTATAAGTAATAGGATGAAATTTAATCGTGAAAAGTGCAAGGTCATGCATTTAGGGATTAATAACAAGAATTTTGGTTATAAGCTGGGGACGCATCAGTTGGAAGTAATAAAGGAGGAGAAGGACCTCGGAGTATTGGTTGATCACAGGATGACTATGAGTTGCCAATGTGATATGGCCGTGAAAAAAGCTAATGCAGTCTTGGGATGCATCAGGCGAGGTATTTCCAGTAGAGATAAGGAGGTGTTAGTACCGTTATACAAGGCACTGGTGAGACCTCATCTGTAATACTGTGTTCAGTTCTGGTCTCCCATGTTTAAGAAGGATGAATTCAAACTGGAACAGGTCAAAGAAGGGCTACTAGGATGATCCGAGGAATGGAAAACCAGTCTTATGAAAGGAGACTCCAAGAGCTCAGCTTGTTTAGCCTAACCAAAAGAAGGCTGAGGGGAGATATGATTGCCCTCTATAAATACATCAGATGGATAAATACCAGGGAGGGAGAGGAATTATTTACCTTCAGTACCAATGTGGACACAAGAACAAATAAACTGGCCATCAGGAAGTTTAGACTTGAAATTAGACAAAGGTTTCTAACCATCAGAGGAGTGAAGTTCTGGAACAGTCTGCCAAGGGGAGTAGTGGAGGCAAAAGACATATCTGGCTTCAAGACTAAGCTTGATAAGTTTATGGAGGGATGGTATGATGGGATAGCCTAATTTTGGCAATTAATTGATCTTTGACTATTAGCGGTAAATATGCCCAATGGCTTGTGATGGGATGTTAGATGGGGTGAGATCTGAGTTACTATAGAGAATTTTTTCCTGGATGTCTGGCTGGTGAGTCTTGCCCACATGTTCAGGGTTTAGCTGATCACCATATTTGGGGTCAGGAAGGAATTTTCCCCCAGGGCAGATTGGCAGAGGCTCTGGGGTTTTTTTGCCTTCCTCTATAGCAAGGGGCACGGGTCACTTGCTGGAGGATTCTCTGCACCTTGAAGTCTTTAAACCATGATTTGAGGACTTCAGTGGCTCAGATATAGGTTAGGGGTTTGTTACAGGAGTGAGTGGGTGACATTCTGTGGCCTGCGTTGTGCAGGAGGTCGGACTAGATGATCATAATGGTCCCTTCTGACCTTAAGGTCTATGAGTCTATAAAAGCCTTCCCCTTTTCCCAGTTAGACCATGATTTTTTGATGTTTAGATGTTTTTCACTTTGATGTAGAGCTGACTTTTTAAAAATAATTATCACCCTTATAACAGATGTATACGTGTTGTGTGATTTTAAACCAAAAGAAGAGGAAAATTTTTCTTTGATATTCTGCTCTTTCTGCACATGTGCAGCTCTCACTGATGTTAAGGGAGTTCTGAGCATGTACAAAATGAATATTGAAGTCTGAAACTTTTATATGTCACATTGAGTGGCCAGTTATCCCCTAAATATTCTTTTTAAACCATTCTATTAACAGTCTCACATTTTATGTAAATATAAAATAAAAAGGGCCAGAAGATTTAAAAGTAGTCCATAGGTGCTGGAACTAAGAGTGCTGCAGCACCCCCTGGACTGAAATGGTTTCCATTATATACAGGGTTTACAGTTTGGTTCAATGGCTCTCAGCCCCCCCACTATAAAAATTGTTCCAGCGCCCCTGAAGTAGTCTTTGATACACATACTGACCATGGGTAGTACCTTATCGCATGAGTAGCCCCATTGTCTTCTGTAGGATTTCTTGTGGAGTCAGGAACTATTCAACATGAGAAAAAATACCAAAACTGGTCCATAATCCTCGTCTAGTCATTTTTCACTCAAAGCTAAGCAAAACCTGTTTGACAATTATCTTCCTAAATGCTATCATTTATAGTTTATAAAGTTTGACTTCTGAAATATTTTCAGATGGGCCTATAATCTACAAGACCTACCTGAAGACAGAATACAGTGATGAGAACATTGAATTCTGGCTTGCATGTGAAACTTACAAGAAGATTGAATCACGGAGGAAAAGGATTTCTGTGGCCAGGAGAATTTTTAAAAATTACATTCAGCCCCAGGCGCCTAAAGAGGTGAATTAACATTGCAAGAACTGCTCCCTCCCTCCCTCCCATGTGTACACACACACACACACACACACACACACACACACCTGTTTATATTAAAAACATGCATGTGGTATCTGTTGAAACTGAAAGCAGCAGCTTGCAAAATGCAACAATAAATACTTGGCAATGGCACTCACTGTACAAAGCAGTGTAAAGATGTTTACTTGATTAGTAATTTTCACAGCACCTTTGTGAAGCAGGTAATTAAGTGTTTTTAACCTCATTTCAGATAAGAAACTGAGGCAGATAGGTAAAATTCTTTGCCCCAGGCCACAGAGGGAGTCAGTGCCAGAACAGAGTCTAGAACTAAATTCCTGGGGAGGGGAGGGGAGGGGTCCATATTTTTAGGGCATTGTACAAAGCATGTTGATGCCAATGGGAGTCTTTCCAAACACTTCAGTAGACTTTGAATGTGACCCTTACTTAGTCCAGTACCTGGAAATTAAGTGAAATCTCTACCCAGTTCCATCCCTTTTGAGAGTTGGCAGAAGCATGCTAAAAGACCATCAAGTTCCCAAAAGCACTGAAGAAGTAAGAAAAATGGAAGTAATTCATTCCAAATGGTTAAGCTACTTTCAGTAAATCAATCCTTAATAATCCTCTAATAAAAACATGGACAATTTTTAGGAAAAACAGACCAGATTTGGCTGTATGAACAGAGATTAATATTAAAGGGTGGTTCTTTTCTGTTAAAACACTATATAAACATGACACCCAGCAGATCATTTCTAGGTGTCTTCAGAATCATATCTTCTCACGTTACTGACAAAAATAAATTAATCTCCTTTTTATTCATTACCACTGCAAGTCCAACACAGCACTGGTAGAGTGAGGCTAGATTTTTTTCTGGCTCATGCTTCAGCAACAGAATTGTTAACTAAATTCAAAATGCACAATACAAATTGCTGGAGATGTGAGGGCTAGAAAGAGCTCAGTTTGATTCTCAGATGCCAGGCTAAGGTTGGAGTAGGGTGACAGTTTACAGCTTTGATTAAGAGACAACAATATTGTCACCCCTGAAAGTTGAAAATTCATGAGATTGGCTCAAAAATTCATGGGATTATTTTAAACATGATGAGGTGTTTGAGAGTTTTTTTGTTTTGAGGCTTTTGGGGGGGGGGAGAAAGAGAGAGGATGGATTGGTTGGCCTCAGGGCCGGCTCTAGGATTTTTGCCGCCCAAAGCAAAAACAATTTTGGCCGCCCCGCCCCCTTCTTTAATTACCCCACCCCCAGCCCCGCCTCAACTCCGCCCCTTCCCCAAATCCCCAGCCCTGCCTCCTCCCCCCAGGCTCTCAAGCCTAGGAGGGAG